TAGTTTCTTAGTGTTTATTTGATATTTGAAAATAAAATCTTAAAAAATTAACTAAATTAAAAACCTAATTCATCGTATAAAATAACAAACCACCCACCTTCCCCTTTATTATACTAAAATGGAGTAAAATCAGTTTTTCATTTAACTTTTCAACTTCCTCTTGATGAAAGGGGGTTATCTTTCTTCTCTGTCCTGCACCTTATATTTCCCTTTAGTTTGTTTTCTTCTGTTATTTTGTTTTTTCTTTGACTGGTTGAGACAGCCAGCTGTCCTTTTTCCATGTATTAGGGTAATCCATCTAGGGATTGGTGTGCTGATGTATATAAAGAGAATAATTGTAATGTACGCAGTCATGAATTCAAAATGAGAATGAAATGGAAAAAGACTGAAACTTTCCCTGCTCTATTTCTCTGCTGTTCTCAACATCCTTCATATTAAATCTATTTTTCTCTTCATGGTATCAGAGCCAAGTTACTGGTTTTGGCAAAGATTTCTCGCATTCTTTCCATTTTTCCCTTAAAGTCTCGGTCTTTTTTCTTCTTATCTTCTTTCCTTCTCAAAGCTTCAAGTTTTTTAGCTTTTGTTCCTCAAGATGTCGAAGATCTCTCTTGCGGATATGAAAAATCCTCTGTATCTGCATCCTGGTGATGGTCATAACTCAAAATCTGTTGATAAGTTGACTAGAGCTGCAAACTACAGAGAGTGGAGAAGATCTATGGAGATAGTACTGGCCTCTAAGAGAAATTTGGGATTTGTAACTGGATTGGTGAAGAAGGATGCTGAAGATGAAGTGAAAGCAGATCAGTGGGATACCTGCAACAATATGGTGATTGCTTGATTGATGTCATGCATGAGTGACTCCATCAAAAGTTCTGTGTTGTTCTTGAGCACTGCTAGAGATGTGTGGAAGAACCTGGAGATCAGATTTTCTCAGACCAATGGAGCTAGAAAATACAAGTTGTGCAAAGATGTCTATGACCTGAAATAGATTGGTCGAAGTCTAAGTGACTATTATACTGAGATGAGTTCCCTCTGGGAGGAGATTGAAGGGTTGAACTTACTGCCACCAATAACTGAGATGAACAGTGAGGTGAATGTTTTCATAAGTGCCCTCAATCAGCAGAAAGATGAACAACATCTCTTTCAGTTTCTCAATGGTATGGATGAAGACTATACTGCATTGTGAAGTCAAATTCTTATGCAATCCCCTCTGCCAACTGTAGAACTTGCTTGTGCCCAACTGCAGCAAGAAGAATCTCAACGTGAAACCCTAAAGGGAGGAGGAAAACCAGACCCTGAACCACCTACTGCTATGTATGGGAAAGGAGGAAATGAGGTAGGTTGTTCAGTGTGTGGTAACAAATCTCACACTGCTGAACAATGCAGGAAGGTAACACAGGAGAAAATGGAACAAAAGAAAACCATTCAATGGTCAGAAAATTGCAGCTAATGCTCAGACTCAGGAAGATAGTGTATCTATCTCAGCACAGCAGTTAGAGCAGTTGCTAAAACTGGTGCCATCAAGCTCTAAGACAGGCTATGACACTGAAGAAGAGATAGAGTTTGGATTTGCAAGTATGATTACTTGTAATAGTGCCTCTAGTAGTATGAATGAATGGATATTGGACTCAGGGGAAAGTGATCATATGATTTCTAATGATAAATTGCTTGATGAATCCGTGCTTGTGAAAGGGAACACAAAAATTAATTTGCCAAATGGTGGGACTGCAAAAATAACTCACATAGGCAATGTTCTGTTAAAAAATGGCCTGCATCTTAAAAATGTGATGTGTGTACCTGAATTTAAGCACAATCTCTTGTCAATACATAAACTGGTGAGAGATGAAAAGTGTATTGTTAAATTCCAACCTAAATTGTGTGTTATTCAGGACTCTGTCACTCTGAAAACTAGGGCACTTGGGAGAGCTAGCCATGGACTATACTATCTGATGAATGATGATCTTGATCTTGCAAATAAGAAGAAGAATGTAGAGGTGAAAAGAAATAATAGCTCAAAGACATTGAAGACTGAAAGAAGAACTGTTGATTCTGTAAAAAGGAAGTTTGCTGAATGTAATGTAGCTAGTGTAGATCAGTGTACTTTGTGGCATAACAGGCTGGGGCATGCTCCATTTGAGAAACTTGTTAAAATTGGGTGTGTCTCAGGAAAATGTAAGAACAACTCTGTTTGCTTAATCTGTCCAATGGCTAGATTTACTAAACTTCCCTATCCTGTGAGTGATGCTTGTGCCAAATCTGTGTTTGAATTGATACATATTGATATCTGGGGGCCATATTGGGTAGCTGCTCGAGGAAATTATAAATATTTTCTCACTATTGTCGATGATTACTCTAGAGCCACTTGGGTTCAACTACTAAAATCAAAATCAGAAGCTTACAGTGATGTCAGGAAATTTATATTATTTGCAAAAAAATCAATTCAATGCAACTGTAAAAATTATCAGGTTTGATAATGCGTTAGAATTTGATGATACTAAGTGCAGAGAACACTTTGGAAATCTGGGCATTATACATAAAAAATCTTGTGTTGACAGACCACAGCAGAACGGGAGAGTTGAAAGAAAGCATAGAAATGTGCTTGAAATGACTAGGGCTTTAAGATTTCAAGCAGGTTTAGCCCTGAGGTACTGGGGTGATTGTGTGTTAACAGCAACCTATATCATAAATAGGTTACCTAATTCAGTGCGAGGAAATAAAACTCCATATGAATTGATTTTTGGAGAGAAACCAAATTATGCATGTATGAAAGCATTTGGTTGTCTTGCTGTTGCTTATAACCCAAATCTGATGGGTGACAAATTTAAGCCCAGAGGTGTACCATGTGTTTTCTTGGGATATCCGCAAGATACCAAGGGCTATAAGGTGATGAATCTGCTGAATATGCAATGTTTTGTGTCTAGGGATGTGAAATTCTACGAACATATTTTCCCATTTAAAAAAGTCAATAGCACAGGCAGTTACAACACACCCTTGCCAATCTCAGTGCATGAGTTGAGTCATGATGGTGGTCGTGAGAGTGGTCAATTGGCACCTGATATGGATCAAATATCGGTTGATGATGAGGAAACTGGAAATGATCCAGTTGTGAATCATGAGACAGAAGATCCTGATCCCCAACAGTGTGAAGAGATCATCACTGAACAATTCTAGACACTCCAGATGAACCTGCATACACTTCAGAGTTTAATCACGATTCTTAGCAAACTGCTCCTGAATCTCATGAAACTCAATTGAGAAGATCAACCAGGCCACATAGATCACCAAAGTGGCTGATGGGATATGATCGCAGAGTGGGTGTGAAAAGAAGCAAAACACAGAGAGGTGAAACTGAAGTGAATGCTGCTTCAGTGGTGAACTTTGCAATGACACTGGTGAAACCTGAATTTGTTGCTTATTTGAGTCAAGCTGAGAAGACTCAAGACCCTCTGCATTTTAAAGAAGCAGTTAAAAATGAAAAATGGGTGGCCGCCATGAATGAGGAGCTGCAAGCACTGGAAAGTAATGACACATGGGAGATGGATGAGTTACCAAGTGGAAAAAAGGCCATAGGGTGCAAATGGTTGTATAAAACAAAGTACAACCCAGATGGAAGTGTTGAAAGAAATAAAGCTAGACTTGTGATATTGGGTTGGAGACAGAGATATGGAATAGACTACGAGGGAATGTTTGCTCCAGTTGCCAAGATGACAACTGTAAGATCACTTCTAGCTGTAGCTGCTATGGAGAATTGGGAAGTATGCCAAATGAATGTCAAAAATGCCTTTCTACATGGAGATCTCATTGAAGATGTGTACATGACTCTCCCAGCAGGCTACACAGGATGGAATAGTAGGATTCATGTAAACAGCACTGTGAAGCACCAGAATACAAACAAGAAGCAACTAGTGTGCAAATTAAAAAAATCCCTGTATGGCTTGAAGCAGGCACCCAGGCAATGGTTCTCTAAGCTATCCACAACCTTGAAAGACTACGGATTTAGTCAATCCAAAACAGATTACTCTCTATTTACTTGAAGTGAGGGGGAGAGTCTGGTGACTGTCTTAGTCTATGTCGATGACCTTTTGCTAGCAGGGAATGATCATACAGCATTACAACAGGTTAAAGCCTTCCTTTCATCTACCTTTCACATGAAAGACATGGGAGCTCTCAGGTATTTTCTGGGCATAGAAGCAGACAGGACGGAACAAGGTATTTTTCTGTCTCAGAAGAAGTATGCTCGTGACTTGATAAAGGAATATGGTATGCATAAGTCTAAGGCTGTTAGAGTACCTATGGAAGCTAACACGAAATTAACACCAGAGCTTGGGGATCCTTTATCAGAACCAACTGAGTACCAAATATTGGTTGGGAAACTCATATACTTGACCATTACCAGACCAGACATAGCCTATGCTGTTCACATTTTAAGTCAGTTCATGCACAAATCGACTACAAGTCACATGCAAGCTGCAAAAAGGGTTATGAGATATATCAATTATGCTCCTGGACAAGGAGTCTTATTAGCTTCTAAATCAGCTACTCTCCTCACAGCTTACACTGACAGCGACTGGGCAGGGTGTCCTATGTCAAGAAGATCGACAACTGGGTTCTGTGTCCTACTAGGCTCCTCACCGATCTCATGGAAATCCAAGAAGCAGGCAACAGTTGCTAAATCCTCTGCTGAAGCAGAGTATAGAGCCATGGCTCTTACATCTTGTGAAGTGACTTGGCTCACTCAATTGTTGAAAGACTTGGGGTAGAAGAATCTCAGTCCTGCAATTTTGAAATGTGACAACAAGGCAGCTTTATCCATAGCAGCCAATCCAGTCCATCACGAAAGGACTAAACATATTGAAGTTGATTGCCACTTCATTAGAGACAAAATCAATGAAGGTTGCATCAAAACTCAATACACCCCTTCAGGAGAACAATTGGCTGACATATTCACCAAGCCTCTCACCATTTCTCAACAGCATCTCTTATTTCCCAAGCTTGGCGTTCGATTCTCTCACACCTAGCTTGAGGGGGAGTGATGAAAGGGGGTTATCTTTCTTCTCTGTCCTGCACCTTATATTTCCCTTTAGTTTGTTTTCTTCTGTTATTTTGTTTTTTCTTTGACTAGTTGAGACAGCCAGCTGTCCTTTTTCCATGTATTAGGGTAATCCATCTAGGGATTGGTGTGCTGATGTATATAAAGAGAATAATTGTAATGTACGCATTCATGAATTCAGAATGAGAATGAAATGGAAAAAGACTGAAATTTTCCCTGCTCTATTTCTCTGCTGTTCTCAACATCCTTCATATTAAATCTATTTTTCTCTTCACCTCTAGAATCCCTAGATCTCTATATCACCTCTATAATTTATCAAAATTTTTAATCAACGTTTTCTCAATCAAAAGATTAGTTGTTCATCAATTTCATTACTATTTTGTCTATTTTACAAGCAATTGTTTGGATTTCCTTCTTCATCACCGTGGAATTATCACTGTGCCTTCATATTCGCTGTCATCTGCTCATCGTGTGTGATTTGGCATCGTCGGCTTGCGGTGCCGTCATATTTATTGTCAAGTGTTCATCATGCTATCATACCCATGTTTTTCCTTTCATCCTCATAAATGGGTAAGAATTTTTTCCAACTAATTTTAATCATTTTTCATTGATTTATTTTTCTTTCTATTTCAAATTCGCTAATTATGTGAAATTATAAACTAAAGACGAATTGTGTGTTTGATTTTATCCATTGAATTTTAAAAAGAAATATTAAGCATGCTACTTGGTGGGATTTTATAGTACGGAGTACTAAGCATGTTACCTCGGTGAATTTTTTTAATTGTAGATCTCTTTTTGAATTAGAATTATTATATTGCTGTAATTTTTTATTAGAGTACTAGATTTGTTTAGTAAGTTGATTTGATAATTCATATTATATATTATGTAATTTTGCAGTGTAATGGATCCATACAAAAAGAGCATATGTGCAGTTGATGGAAGTAATCAATCGAAGCAGATTAATGCTAATAGATTGAATGGTTATGGTGGAGGTTGTAATTAGTGTAAAATAGTGTAGTTGATTTGAATTATGTCAAATATTTTTCATGTTTTATTTCACCGTGGACTTATGAAATATGAACGGATATCATGTATTTTAATTTCTTTGTACTCTAATATTTTCAAATTTAATTATAAATTTGTAATTGGGCAATTTGTTGGTAATCCAGATTCCATTTTTCTTTGTTGAGATTTTATCATGGACGTAAGATCAAATTTGATCTAGCATTATCATTAATATTTTTATTTTTTTTTTAAATAAAAATGCAAAGAGACCGGTTATCTATATACACTGGTCTCTTTGACTTTATCAAAGAATCCAGCAAAGCAAAGATGCACGGTGTCTTTGTCTCGATAATTTAATGCTTTTAGCAAGACCAAAGAGACCGTTTATTAGAAAGAATTGGTCTCTTTGCTTAATCTAAGACACCAGAAAAAAATACGGTTTCTTATGCTAAGAGACCTACTACCTAGGCACCAGATTTTTTCAGATTTCTTAGGCCTTTTTTGTCAGGTTTCTTTGACCTATTTTGTAGTAGTGATACATACCTTATTCAATCGAAATTGAAGCACAAAATCGAAATTCACACAAAAATTCACTTAATAACTACTTTCATGTTGTAAGAAACAAATTCAATAAAAAAAGTGTAAAAAAGGGGGAAAATAAAAAAAAACAGAGGAGAGAGAAAATAAAAAATGAAGGAGAAAAATAAAGGACAAGAAACCTAATGTTAACTTTCTGAAAAGCTAATGTTCATATTGTGCTGTTGTTACACCTATTTTTAGGTGCATGAGTGTGCACCTAAGAATATGTGACACACAAGGGTATTGGGTTAAACAAGTTAGAGACCCATTAATGGGCCTCATGAGCATTTAACTAATCATGAAATGGATTGGGCTAGCATAGTTAGATTGGAAATAAGTTTTGGGCTTTTGACATGGGCTCTTATTTAGAGATGAGATCTATAAATAAGATCCATGCCTAGGGTTGCAATTAAGAAGTCATAATTCACACACAGTGAATTTTGACATCAAGGCAACCGATCCCAAAACCCTTATTCCCTCTCTAATTCACAGCTCCCTCTCCTTCCCCTTTGGACTCACGGCCGACCACCCTTGGTGGCGCGTGTGGTGGTTCGTGGTGGTTTATGGTGGTTCGTTGCTCGCACTTCTCCATAGAAGGTCAATTGAAGGGTTCAATTGCAACTAACTAGCATTAGTGGAGGTCTTAATCTCTGCCCTTGGACCAAGTAGAGGAATCACACTTGAGGTTCTTTATCTCCCATTGTTCTTGCTCGATCGCACGTGGAATCACGCTTCAAAGGTACGATTATATGTTCTTTATGTGTTATGCATTAGATCTTGGGATTAGGTATTGTATGAATATGATTCATGTTTATTTCCGCTGCGTAGTACCTATAAACCCCTACAAGGGCAACATAACTAAATTTCTCATCTTTGATTAAACAATAAGGGCAAGTTAAACAACACAAACTGTTGGATGCGGGCATCCGCACCCAAGTGTTTGTGCGTCCGAAGACGACAATGACGATGAAGAAAACGATGACAATGATGGCAATGGTGGATGACGACTATAACAATGACGTAACCCTAGATGACTGATGTGGAGGTGGGGGTGAATTAGGTGCGAATTTATGGTGATGATTTTGGTCTAACTCGATGGTGCGGTGGTTGGTCTGGTTCGGTGGAACGAAGGAAAAGGATAGGGAGTGATGATGTTGTTGGTGGTGGGTGCGGTGATGTGGTGGTTTGCGTAGATGACTGATTTGTGGGTGGCGTGAAGAGCTGCGTGCTGACAGGAGAGAGAAAAAAAGAGAGGACAATAATGGGATCGGTGGGTTGGTGGTTGGCTATGGTGGTGTGAGTTTGGAGTTGGTTCGGTGGGTTGGTGGTTGGTTATGGCGGTGTGAGTTTTTGGGTGGTGAAGAGTGAGGGAGAGAGGGAGTGCGTGAGTGGTGAGTTTGAGTATTGCTGATACAAATTAATATAAAGTGGAGTTAGGTCTTACAATGACGCTTCGATTGCTTTCCCGAACTTATAAGTTTTTTTGTAATTAATTTTTATAATTGAGATAATCAGAGAATTTAAATATGAGATTTTTTTTTAGTAGTAGACTAGTAGAATTTCTAAGAGAGTAAATTTTTTTTTTCTGCGCACAAAAAAGAATAGGAATTAGAGAATAAGAGAATAAGAGAGGAGAGATGAGTTGATGAATTGTGAAAAAATTGGAGGAACTAATGGGATATTTATTGGGATTTTAAGGTAGGAATTTTGGAGATTTCCGTTGGAAATCTAGCCGTTTATGGCTGTTGGGGAATAACGGTTGGGACTAATTGGCAAGGGCCGCGCCGTGCCTGGCGAGCCGCATGCCGTTCCTGGCGTGACGCGTGTCGGCCATGCCGCGTGATGTGCTGGTGGGCTGTGTCGGCGTGCCGTCTCACGGGCCGACGACCGTGCCGCCCGCCATGCTCGCCGTGTCAATTTTCGAAATTCGTGTTCACGACACGGCTCCAGGCCCACAAGTAGGTCGTCGTGCCGTGCCATGTCGGGCCCGTGTCAAGACGGCCCATGCCACCTTTATATATATAAGAGGACTGGAGCCTTGAAGGAATATTAAAGGATGTGGGTGGAATACATACATGCTCCTACATGATGCCTAATATAGAAATATCTCATATTTATTGCAGATATATGGAGTTGGAAGAAGTGTATGAAAACATATACACAAACTACATGTGGCACATACAATTGGAATCTTCTTGAACCACCACCAAATTTAGGTTCTTCCACAATTTCCTACCAATTTTTCAAAATATTCACAATTTCTAGAAACAACAATAACCTTAAGCCATATATAATAGTCAGGCTTTGTACGTGGGACACATTAATCATTTAACCCCAATATATATAAAGCTCAAAATAGTACATTATGTGGGCCAAGATTGATTGTGTCAATTATTTTGAGATAGATGAAGTATGAGTTTCAATTACGTAGACAAAAAAATTCAAGAAAAGTTCTTATACAAATCACAATTCACATATGAACAAATTATGAATAGTTTTACTATAAAAAAAAAGGTCAATCATTTAATCATAGTTGAATATAAGAAATTAATGCAACATAAATAACAAATTGTACATATTATACTCTACTCCAATCTTATAGGAGTAACCAATGGTTTATTAGAAAAGAAGGCTCTCAAATTTGCCATAACAATGTCTTCGACATCCTTGAAGGATTGTGGAGTAAAGGCAGCTCGATGAGGAGATAAGACTACATTCTCTAAACCAAATAACTCCTTCGAAATATTAGGCTCATACTCGAACACATCAAGACCAGCTCCTCCAATTTCGTCTTCCACCAAAGATTGCACCAATTCTTTTTCGTTGATTAGAGCCCCTCGGCCACGTTAATCACATATCCATCCTTTCCTAAAGCAGTCAATACCTTCTTGTCGATTTTATGGTGAGTTTGCTTGGATAACGAGCAACAAAGGATGAGGATGTCACTATCGATGGCCAAGTCATAGACATTAGCATAGTAGGGAAAAGAAACATAGGGTTTTTACACCCTAGAGTTGTATGCAATGGTACAACCAAATGATATAAGACGATTTGCAACTAATGTGCCTATGCTTCCAAGGCCGACTATGCCTATTCGCTTTCCACGCATCTGCCATTTACATAAAAATACTTAATATGAATTCGAAGAAGTATCAAATACAGTACCTACATACAGATCCTCGAGAATTTGTAATATAACAAGTTATTATCGTAAAGTATACTAAGACCCCGTTCACTTTACCTTATTTTTGCTGAACTGAAATTATTTTTACTGAAGTGGAATTATTTTTATTGAACTGAAATTATATTTGCTGAACTAAAAATATTTTTACTGATTTTCTATTATATTTATTCTTTAAGTTTACTGATTTTTACTGAACTAAAATTATTTTTGCTAAACTGAACTTATTTTTACTGAACTGAAATTATATTTATTGAACTGAAAAATATTTTTACTGAATATTATTTTTGTAAGGTGAAGTGAACAGGGCCTAAGACTTATAAAGCATTTCTAAATTATTCCCATAATATATAAGATAAAACATTGTCAAGTTGGATTTCATTTAATTCGTCTCAACAAATAACAATATTAATTATATAGGTATTTATTTAGGATAAAATTGTTAGGAACTACCTCCCTAATAAGTCATTTTGTTAACAACTACTCACTTTAAATTTTTATAAAAAAACCCCACCCTTTAAGATGTATTCTATTCACCTAATTTTTACTTATCTAAACTTATAAGAACTTGTATGATCTTATCTGAATTTATCTAAACTTATTTGATCTTTCTGAACTTATTAGCCCGTATTAAAAATTATTGTAGTTATAAATTAAACTTGGTATGTAGCCCTGATTAACCCTTATCACAACTTATCTAAATTTATTTGAATTTATTTTTCCTGAACTTATCTTATCTGAACTTATTAACCCTTATATGAACTTATCTAAACTTATTAACTCTGAAATAAGTAGAAATAAGGTGAAGAGAACAGGTCCTAAATTTAAAAAGTTTGAGTGACACTATCTATTTTAGTTTTCAAGCAACAAATTCCGGCAAGTGTGGTAAAACTTTATTTTTTCCTCCAAAACTTAATCTTACAACAATCAACCTCATCTCCTTTAGAACAACTCAACCTAAAACATAAAGTTTTTAAAAATTAAAAAAAGGAAAGTAATTGTGGTTTTAATCAAGAGATGCGTAATGCTTCTAAATTGATGTTCAACTCACTTGTTTTGACTTCTTAATTGTATGATCTATCATTTTGTGTTTTAATTTTGGAAGGAAAAATAAAAGTAAGCCCTATATGTTGGATTTTGTTGCTGAAAAACCAAAAAGGTAGTGGCAGTAAAACTTTTTAAATTTAGTGAGTAACTTTTTTGATAAAAATTTTAAGCGGTAGTTGCTGATTAAATGACCTATTAGGCGGGTAATTCCTAACTATATTTCTTTTATTTTATGATTACATAAAATAAATAAAGATATTAACATGATTAAAAAAAAAATGGAGATATTATTAAAAAGTGCATTAGCAATTATGTACCTTCAAAGTAAAAGAACAAAAGATCCAAAATAGAGGGAGTATTCAACAGTTCATCATATGATTTCACTTCTTATAATGAAGAAAAATTGTTTGGCCGAACAAATTAACATGGAAATTCAAAATATCCTAATCGGGCTTAGTAAGCAATTCATTCTTCAGTGTATTAATTACTTCTACTCGTTGTCTCGCTCCACTTTTTAAAGTGTAACAATTGACTTAGGACATAGTTTTAGGCATCTTATGTTTATTTCACCTAATCAGTAATCTTAAAGAATAAATATAATTGAAAATCAGTAAAAGTAATTTCAGTTCAGTAAAAATAATTTCAATTCAGTAAAATTAATTTCAATTCAATAAAAATAATTTAACACTATACAAAAAAGAGTATTTTCTCGACGCTTGACCCTCGACGTGGGCAAGGAGAGTCAACTATTAAATATACTATGCGCATTATTTCGACGCTTTTCTGGGTCGAAATTAATTTTTGGCGCTATAAAGCGTCGAGAAACAGTAACACGTCCCCTATACGTGACTGTAAAACCCACTATTGTAAAATTTAGGGAAAATGAAACCGCCGAACACAAACAAAAAAACCTCTAGTCTTACTGCTCAGTTGTAAACCTAACTATTCTTCTCTCTTTAAATCCTAAATCTACAAAGACACTTATGGAACTGTTGATTCCAAACTCAGAACTTTGTTTTTCTCGCAGCAATTTTAAAATGAGGACTATCATTTTGTAAATCAGATTTTTGCTCCTCTTTGAAGTTATTTCGAATTGAGGTACATCAATTTCATATTCAGATCTTTGTTCTTATCAGGTTCAAATTCGAATTCAGGTACATCATTTCAAAATTCAGATCTTTGTCTCTCTTTGAATTAATTGTTAGATCTTGACCCAAGCTTGTAATCTATGTCGCCCTCTCAGTGCCGATCGATAATATAAAGATACTTCCTTTCTTTTTGGGATTCAAATTTTATTCCAAATTGTATCATGTAATTTGTTGTTTAATTTTTATTTTTCAATAATCTCACGAATTATGCTTAGGTGTGGGTTAGCTTCATGAATAATTAATGGGATTTTAAGGTTCTATATTGTTATGTTTCATTTTGTGCCCCTGTTTATTTCAATTCTGAAAATTATCCTTTTGTTTTCATGTGTTTGAATGAGCATAATCACATTGTTTTTCGTCTCATAATTCTATCACAAATTGCAGTGTTAGTTTTTCGAAGGAGCTGCTGTGAATGCTGACTTCGTTGGACTCGTTCTACTACGTTAGAGAAGCTCTTTAGGTGATTTTTTTTTAATCTGGGTCTTTTTATGTCTTCTTTCTGCCTTTAAAATTTCAGAATTTTTGGAGTTACTTTGCTATAAAAATGGGCTGTTTTATTTGGACTGGTCTGTTTTAGTTCGAATTTGTTTATTCTTGCTGTTTGGCTGCGATTTTAATAGGATTGCTCTGTAATTTTTTTCTAGGGAGTTCGTGTTTCATTTAGGCTATATTGAGAGTGTTTGAAATTATTATTGCACTCTTTATTGCCCATTTGTTTCTTCCTTCTACTGTTTTTCTTGTTCGTTTATTTTTCACTTGTTTGTGATTACTAGGTAGATGAATTGCTAAATAAAATAACTTGTGGATGATTTCCATTAGAAAAGTGAGTAACTTTATTAGAGAACAAAACAACTAAATAGTCAGTCGAGGCTTTCTCTAAACTAATACTTGACAACATAAAGAAGAAGAAAAAAAAAAAGAGGATAGTGACGACGAGGGTCAAAGCACTCTAATCTCGATAATAAGGATATAAACTTGTTCCCAATTTTGCATAGAGATGGCCATATTACATGAGGATGCTATTTAAATTTCTAGAAAATTATCTAAATGCTTCCTTTTCTCTATATGAATTACTGGTGCATTGTATGTTGCCTATGTTCTTGTTGCCTAACAAAATTAAAGCAAGAATACTTTAGTAATGTTGAAGTCAATGGCCAGAAGAAAATCATTGAACCAGCTTTTATAGCTTTCTTTAACTTTGGAATATCATGAATGTCATTCTATGTTAGGCAAGCATACACAAATAAGTTAGGTATTTATCTTAAATTGAAAATTTTCTACCATTCATTGTTACTTAGTTAGCGGGACTGCCATTTCAAGCTTCAATATAGTTAAAGAACCACCGATAAAGTTCTGTTATTTTCTTATTTATATACCAGGCATTGATGCATCTGTTCCTCTATCTTGTTTTGGTGTAGGATTCTAAATTTTTTACAAGTGCGTGAGAGCTTTAAAATCCTTTACTTCATTTCATTATAAAGAAACTATTGCAGGAAAGGCGGGTCTAGGGTCACATGCTGCTAGTGGTGTCAAGGAATATATGGGAGAATGTCCAGGAAGGAATATTGAATCACTTGCTTCCTTCCCATGAATTTAAATTCTTAAAAAGCTTGTTTTACCTAATGGTTTGTTCAATCCTCTGAGGTAAATACACGAGACTGCTTCTTCAAAGGTCCTGTTATGGATGGAATAAGGTAAAACTTTGTCCCAATAAATTAGTCCAAATTGAATAAATAACTTATAATTTATTATGATTTCTCTTCATTTCTTGCTGCTTGATAGTTTAATGAAGATCTGGAATTTGAACAAGTTATCTGGGACTATAGGAGTGGTTTACTGTTAAGGAGTAGGGAGTTGGCCATTGAAAGATAATATTCTAGATACTTTAATACCAGGAATTATTTCAGGCCAAATCAGGCCCAATGATGTCGAATTCCTTGGAAAGGTTGGTGGTGATACCTAGCAATGAGATTGTGTAGTTTATGCTTTCAATTCTGGTAAACTTGTCATTTAAACTTAGCAGTCTAGCATAGCCTAATAAACCTTCCTGATATGTTCAAGTAGTTGCTTGACTACTGAATTCTCCGAATTACATGATACACTACTAAAACCATCACCAAAATTCCAAATAATGGAAAAGTGGAAGTGTCATTTGGCGTTCTGACATGTGAATTATATACAATCTGTCCTATAAAGGTTAGTAATCAACATACCCACTCCTTATTTTCATTTTTAGTATCTAAGTGTGGCAAATTTTTATTGTTGCGGTTATTTCTATTGGAGGATTACAGGTATAAGATTATTGATTAATTTAACTGATTTTTTTTCATCAGACAACCTTCGGCCAGTTGCTTCCACTCTAAATTTTCCCTTCTTCCTCCATTCATGATGAACTTTGCTTTACGCCCTCTTGCAAGCATATTAAGGAACAGCTAAATTGGAGATTGATTGAAGATTTTTTTTGAGAATAAATGAGCAAATTTCTTCCACTACAACTAGTCACGAATCAAGTATAAGTTGGAATAATATCTATTGTAATAGAAAACTCATTACTATGAGATATTGTACATATACTATAATATACCTATATGAAATAAAAAGAAGTTTGGCCCTTTTTTTTTCATATTTTGGTTATACTAGTAATACTTTTTTGGTATGAAATATGTTTTTTGGTAATTCTTTTTTTTATTTTTATTGAGATGCATGTTTTTTGGTAAATATATTTAAGATATATGTTTTTTTTAAAGAATATAGACAAGAAAAAGCGTCCCCAACATAGAAAATATAGACGGAAAAAAGCGTCCCAAAATATTGAACATCAAATATTTGTAACTCTAGACATTAAAAAGCGTCACCAATTTAATGGTCTTAGACACTAAAAAGCGTCGATAAAATCAAGAAAGTGTGCCAACAACAGCAAATTTCGACGCTTTGTATATTATTTTAGACACAAAAAGGCGTCTAGATTCTCGACTTTTTGATATCTAACAAAATTCTCGACTCACTTATCGAGAGATTTTTTGCGACGCTTTTATGTGTCGAAAATAAGGCTTAAAAGCGTCAAAAAAACACGCTTTGTATAAGTTCAGTAAAAAATAATTTCAGTTTAGTAAATTAATTCAGTTCAGCAAAATTAAGATGAAGTGAACGTCACATCATATATAATTGTGGCTGTTAGAAAATTTTAAAATCGGATAGTAGATGAATAATTTATTTTAAAGTAAGCAATGATTGGTGAGGATAGAGAATAATAATTTTTAATAAAGTATAATATAGACCGTGGAGAAATGTTAAAAAGTGTAGATGATTTTCTTTTTTCCTACAACAACAAAAAGGTGCAGATCATTTCATTTTTAAATTGTTGCACTTCAAAAATAAACAACCTTGTGTTAAAAAAATATATAAAAAATAAACAACCTTTCATAAAAATTGAAGGAAATACTTCATGGAAATATCTGTCCTAAAATTACTCCGTAGTAGTAGGGCTAGTAGCAAAGATATGAAATACTCGTAAGAAAAGGGAAGGAGTCTACTCACACTAGAGCCAGTGGCGGACTTGGGCTTAGACCTGGTGGGTCAAGTGACTCACCAGGCCCAAAAAAAAATTTTAAGTTATTTTTTGAAAAAAAAAAACTGACATTTGCTTTCGAAATCCCGAGTTTCTGTCTTCTTCAAACAATCAAACCCTAACCTTCTTCTCTTCGCGACTTCGCCTCATCTCCATTCTTCAGTTCGCCTCTTCGCTTCGTCCCAGCCAGGCAGCCACCGTTCTCTTCGCCTGGTGGTCGGTCCGTCGGTGGTCGTGGACTCCGTCCTCTTCGTGGCTTCTCGCATAGTCGCATAATCGCATTTCGAAATCGCTACTCGCTAGTTCTCCATTGAAGCGCCTACTGTGCTTTATCTCCTCCATCGAAGTAGTTTCTGATTTTCACTTCAATTTCTTTTTTTGCTCTATTTGTTTATTTATTTTTTTTATTTTTTATTATTGAATATCAAATCAATTGGACTGCTTTGCTTTTGTCTTTCAACCATCCTAATGGTGCTAGCATCTGATAGAAATTCATTCTACCCTGATTGAAAGTTTTTCTTCTCACCTATTATAATAATTTCGGTTGAAATTTGTGTTCATTTCTAATCTATCTTGTTCTACTTCGCTAATTTCTTTGGCCATTTATTTCATTCTAGGTTTATTCTCATACTTTCTTGTTGGATTTTTTTTTGTTTAATATGACTTTTTGCTTGTATTTTTTTATTTTCTTTGTAACCTAAAAATTTGGCCTAATTTAGTGTCTAAATTGAGCTCTAATATTGTAGCCGATTTCGAATTTTTGCTAACTTTACTCTATATCCTGTCAATCACTGAAGTGTTGGAGTTGGCTGTAATTTACAGGCTATAAACACAGCACAAAACAAGATTGCAATGATGAATGTGCAAATAAGGCTATTATGCTGGAGTTCCCGGCAAGGATAACAAATTTGAGAGCTTAGAAGTGTCAAAATAATTAATGCTTGAGTCCACTAAAGGGAATGAGCATCAAAGGAAAATGTAGTCTCGCCCAAGGCCAGGTTGGCAACCTCTTGGTTTTCTAAGGGAATGAGTAAGTTGATTTCTAATTTCATCAATTGATTCTTTTTTTTTTTTTTTTTGTGAATTTTTGATCAAATTTGCATTACTTATCTCTTGAACTTACGTGAAATCTGTTTTGTGTAATTGTGTTTTGTGTAATATGTTTATGTGATTATGTCATTATGTTCGGTAATTTTTTTTTTTTACATACTTGATTATCGATTGTGACCCACCAGTCGGAAATTCCTGGGTCCGCCACTGACTAGAGCCAAGAGGGAACTCCCCTGGCCGGGGCCAAACTCCGCCGCGAACAAATCGGTCCGCAACAGAAAACTTACGGAGCACATCAAGGAGCATTCCAACAGTGTAATCGGCTACATCTTCTGAGAATACATTGCCAACATTAGCAACAAGGATCCCTCGACGGCGGCATTCTGAAAGATCAATATGGTTGTAGCCTGCGCAAGCAACCACAACAAGCTCCAAAGAGGGAAGGCAATCTAAGATATCCTTCCTTAGCAGAGATGCCCATACGCAGACAAGAGCACGTGCACCACTACCGTTGGTCCTCAAGTAAGATTGGATGGCAGAGGAGTCAGCGCCAATGGCATCGAGAGGCTCTAGGAGAAAAAAATTGGGGGCGAGGCGGTGGTGGAAAAAGCATGTGTAGGAGGGTATGCGGTGGATAATGAGGAGGGGTTTTTCCTTCACTTGTTGAATGTGAGAGTGGGAGATTATGGTGTCCGACATATTGTTTTTTGAAAGACTATTTTTAGTTTGTGTGTTTTATAGTGAGTTTGGATAGAAAAAAGGGAGGGGAGAGAAGGAGAGAGAGTGGAAGAAGATAGAAAGGAAATGGAGGTGAAGGGGGGAATGATGATGAGTTTTCCTTTCAAATTTCTCTATTGTTGGAGAAATTAATCTCTTACAAATCAATCCCTCCATTTCTCTCCTCTTTAATTCTCTTCATTCTTCTTTTATCATCCAAGTGAATGATATTTTATTCTTTTATTTTTATTTCCCTTCCTTTCTCTCTATTTCCTTCAATCTAAACGCACTCTTAAATCTTTAAAGGAGGAGAGTATGTTCTTGAATACTTGATGGAAATATATTAGGCTATAGGTTAAAATTAGTTTGTTATTTGGCACTTAGTTTAGTTAAATATATTTAATTTTGTTATTAAAACTATAAAAACAATATGAAAATATCATATACAAGTATGAAATTTACATACTAATACGAATCCTAGGACACCTGAATGATGGCACATTTTTACTTACTCATTAGAGTACAAGTGAATAAGTTAAAGTTTGGTCAAATTTAATAAATCATATTTGATCAAACCAGGCAGACCAAGCTACTTATGATGCATGGGTACTTCTAATAATCAGGACATGCGATGTGCACTGGTATCTCTATGGTTACTGGGTACTTTGATATATATTTTTATTGTAAATTATTTTTAAGGAAAAATGGAAACTTAAAAATCCAACCTTTACGATCTGACAATAAAAATCCAACCTTCCATTAATCTCACAAAAATCCAACCTTTATACCCCACCTTCTTTGACAGGTCCGTCACCTGTTGATGACCGATTTTTATAAGTTATATGCCTTGTGTCAACTACTAATAGGTCAATTGTTTTTTATAATTATTAATTAAACCTCCACGTGTCAGCAACCTCCCCTCCTTCCCCGGCGTGCAACTCCCCTTCCCCTGCGTGCAACGCTAGACACCCATCTCAACCACCGTCAAATACCCTAACCCCCGAAAACCTTCCTACCAGAAACCTAGCCCCTATCAAACCCCAATCGACGACGACCATAACCGACCCCAAACACAAGCCCTGGCCTCCACAAACCCAGTTGCCTACCCCAACTTCCACCATTATCAAACCCCAATCAGCTCAGCGGCGACCCTAAATCGTCCCCAGACCCTATCCCGGACATACTCTTTCTCCACCTCGACCACTGCCTGAAACCCGTGAGGCTCTGTGATTTGAAACAGGGAGGTTTTCGAGGGGCTACATCGTTTGGGAGGACTGGGTGAGGCTGCTTGAGACTGCTTGTGGTTGGGCATTGGTTTGGGAGGAGAGAAAGTGGAGGAGGAGGAAGAGGGTTTCGGTTTTGGGTTTGGGCAGGGTGGGGTAAGTGGTGGCAGAGGTGGTGGACTGGTGGTGGTGTAGAGAGGAGAGAGAAAGAAGAGGAGTGAGAAGAAAAGTGAGAATTTAAAATTAAAAAAATTAACCTGTTTAACAGGTTATAGGTCAAATAGACCTGTCAAAGAAGGTGGGGTATAAAGGTTGGATTTTTATGAGATTAATGGAAGGTTGGATTTTCAATGTCAGACTGCTCAAAGGTTGGATTTTTCTTTTCCATTTTTCCATTTTTTAAGTATTTTTTAACAAACTTTGCTTTAAATTTATTCATTTTGCAAAATAATTTTTTTTTTTAAATAATACATTAGCAAAGACAACGAATATTCCAAGATAATATACTGATAGCGAAAAACATTCAAGAGTACCAATAAATTATTTTAAGATGGAGGGAATAACTTAGTATTGACAAGCAACTAAAAGGTTGAGAAAATGACTAAAAAAAATAATAATAAAATAAAAAATGGTGAGCATGGAGATTCAGATCTAAAGATCAGCCAACCCCCACATATAAAATTGGACCAAGAATTTAGTCATCAATAATTCAGCAAAAGACAATCTAGCTTAGTTTGACATCAATTGACTTATTAAATTCTTTGTTGAATTTTATTAGCAAACATAGTCAATATAATTCCACAGAAATATTGTAGATGACAATTGGTCGGTCATGTTATGTATCTAAAATATTCTCTATCTTGCACTTAGTGTTAAAGAGTTGGTATGCTAGTTGCATTCTTGGTTTATAGTAATCGTGAAAATGTAGTATTCGGGTGTAGTAGGTCGAGTGTCGGTTGCCGATAATTATTTTGGTGGTAATAAGTAATTGCAATGAAGTATTGTAAAAATTATAGCGTAGTCGTCGACTACAGACGATTACGGATGACTAATTTTTCTTAAATAAACCTGGTCCACAATAATATTATTGTGGACCAAATTTATCACGTGACTTTAGTCACTCTCAGCTGAGCTATTTACTCTCCTCTCCTCTCCTATCTTTTCTTACATATTAATTGCTCCAAATTACCAAATTAATTGTTTCCTTTATTTTCTCAATTAATCTGACACTTTCTCTCTCTTCCCTTCTTCCATTTTCTCTCTCCTCAGCTCGAGTTCTTCAATGGTGCTACATTTCAACGAAAACGCGGCCTCCGTTCTTCTGCTACAAAAGTCGACGAACCACAACCTTCAGGTAATCTTCGTTTATATCTTTTTTTCTGCAATATTTAGTTGATTAATTGTTGTTTTCTTGAATTGAAATTATTTGCATGAATTTTGTATGAATTTTTGTTTGAATTTTGTTTCGTAGTGAAGATCTAGGGTTTTGCGATGCTTGATTGTTATTTCGTTCAACTTTGATTGTTTTTTGTTTTCTGATTCAATTTTATTGATAATGTGTTGTTGTCGATGATTATTTGTGTAAATTTGAGCTGATTATTTGTTGTTTTTCTTTAATTGAAACTATTTGTATGAATTTTTTTTTTGAATTTTGTTTTGTGGTGAAGATCTAGGGTTTTGCGATGTTCGGTTTTTATTTTCTTTCAATTTTGATTGTTTCCTGTTTTCTCATTCAATTTTATTGTTAATGTGTTGTTCTCGATTAAGATTTGTGTAATTTTGAGCCGATTAATTGTTGTTTTTCTTTAATTGAACTATTTGCACGAATTTTGTTTCGTAGTGAAGATCTAGGGTTTTGTGAGGTTTGATTCTTATTTTGTTCAATTTTGATTGTTTTTTGTTTTCTCATTCAATTTTATTGATAATGTGTAGTTCTGATGATGATTTGTGCAATTTTGAGTTGACTAATTGTTATTTTCTACTTTATGATATATTTAAATGTTTTGGGATAGTAATTTTTATAGATTATATGTTTGTCTAATGTATCTAGTTAGAAGTTTAGAAAAGAATGAGCATTAAACTAGCTAATTGTCACTTGATTGGTTCCTATTAGTATTAACAAGTAACAATTTGTTAATTTGAATGTAACTTTGATAGCAATATGTTTCATGTATGATTTGTGAATTGTGCTTTATATTCAATAATAAAAAAAATTGTCCAACTAATGAGGCCTTGGCTTATTAGGTAAAACTAAGGAATTGTGGATTCATGCTTAATGCTTGAAATTGTTTGAATAAAGTTTATGATATTATTCAGTGACAATTTATAAACCAGATTCTTTACTAGCTGTTTATTCAATCATAATACTTGTTGAGTGCTTGTATCTTGTTCATGATTTCTCTTTTACAAGGGAAGGGCGATTGAATGAGCTTGTATCTTGTATTTTCTGGTCACTATTGTTTCAGTAAGGTTACTATAATATACATTTTGATTTCTTTTGTATACAAATGTTGCCAAAGGCTTGAAGAAGAATACTAGAGCTAAAAAGAAAAAGAATGTTGCTGAACAAGATGTTTCCAGAGAGCTTCATGAGCATCAGATTCCTGCAACTGGTTCACCTTCGTCTCGGCAAAAGAGAACTTGTGAAGATGAACCTGAACCTTGTGTTGAACTACTGCTCCTGTTCGTGTTAAGAGGCAAAGGATAAGAACGAATCAATCAACAGTTGAAGCTGGTGGTGATGTACCTACGTAAGTAACTTTTTTTACTTTGGAGTGTTCTCAAAAAATTAGATTCAACATGCATGTTTGTGTGACTGTGCATTATTATTTCTATTTTGCAGATTGCGACCATTTAAAACTAAATGTAGGCCTTTGCAATTGGTTGACTTGATGTCTAACTTTACTGATGATAAAAAAATTTCTGTGAATGAAATCGGCTTTGGAGGGTTGTTATCATTGAAGTTGAAAAGGAATCCTACTAGTATGTATAAGTGGCTAATTGATTGTTTTGACTGTGGTAGCTGCATGTTTTCAATAGACAATAGTAAGGAGTTTGTGGTCACTGAATATGATGTGTATGATGTATTTTGCCTTCCTTTGAACCCTAATAATGTTGAGGAGATACCTCGATCTACTAATAAAAGTAATCCTGACTTTGTTTTCAAACATAATTGGAGGTTGAATTTTGGGTTGGCAGATGAAAATGACCAAATTTCACTTAATTTGTTAGAGGATAGGATACCTACTTTAGATCAAGGTGGAGATGAGTTTAAGCAACTCTTTGTTATGCATGCAGCATCCTCTTTTTTGGCTCCTACTTCTAACCGAACTGCTGATCTTAGGATTGCTAAGGCACTTGATGATGTTGGACAAATTAAAAATTTGAATTGGTGTAAATATGTTCTTGAAAAACTGTGTGAAGGTGTTAAAAGTTACCAAAAAGGAGAAATTCAAAACTGTTGTGGTTGTATTTTGATGTTGGAGATTATTTACTTTCATAGGTTGAAATTTAGGAATGTTGAATTAAGTACTTCTTTACCCTTAATTCAACATTGGAATGATCAGTTGATTAGGGACAGAATTAAGAAGGAAAAATTGTTGAAAAGTTTTGGGTCAGGGATTTTGCTATGTGATGTGTATCCTATTAGTCGTAAGCTGAATTTTCAGGATGCTCCTGTGGGTACTACAGAGGGAAGTGTGGGAAATGTTGAAAATGTTAGGGAGGGTAATGATGTACCTGGTACAATACAGTTTAATCTCCCACCGGGTTCGATGTCAGATCAGGAGATCCATTCATCTGCTATTGATGTAAGGAATAGCTGACTTTTATTCTTTTTTTTTTTTAATTATTGGATTTGATTTCAATATTTATACATGATTTTTTTAATCTCTTTGCAGCCTGTTCATGAACAATTTTTGTTCATAAAAAGAGATATGAATGTGATATCTTGTTTTTATAATGACAAGATAAAACAGATTCTTCTTTCACGCCGCAATGAGATCCACAATGCTCCTGGTATTAATGTGTCTCAGGATGATCTGTTTTTTTTTTTTTTGGATCCTCAAGTTCAATCTGTGATTGATGATATCTATGAACTTGCTATTTGGGTGACAAAAAATGCCCGAGGTGTTGGACCAAGTTTCTGCATTTGACAACAACAAGACAAATGAAGGGAGGGAGGAAATTAGGGGAACTTTACCTGTGATTGGCTTTGAAAATATTATTACAAATGGAGGGTCCCGGTGTTCGATTTCTTTTAATTGGAAATATGATGAAAGGCTTATTGTTATTTCACACTTTTTGAAGTCAAATAACAAGGAAATGAAGTTATTGGATCCATTAGTCCTAGAGATTGTTGACTATTGCATTATCAATGATTCTTGTTTGCCTCCTAAGTAAGTAAGCTTTTGTTTGATTACATTGATTTTTTTTATTTTTTTTTTATTTATGAAACACTTTTTTAATTCTTATTTTATATTCTTTGACACAGTGAACTATTGGTATGCTTTCATGAAAATCATTTTATTCAAAGGCAAGAGTTCTACACATTAGGAGAGCCTTCTGAAATCATGAGCAGTAGTATTTTGGATTGTTGGGCGTTGCTTCTCAATGAAAATCAGAAATTTCTTAAGGATGGACCTCGAAAATTGTACTTTGGTTCTTCAATTAGTGTGAGTTGTTTAATTATTTCAATGTTTATACATGTTTTTACTTTTCACTTATTTTTTTATTTGTTTAAATGTTATGAAGGTTTCAATAGTAGAAGTTGCCGGCAGTAATGACAATTCACAACTAGTGGACAATGTATATCAAGAATTGGAGGAGTGGATGAAAATAGCTTGTAATAATTTTGATTTATCAGAAGTGGAGCTGGTAATACTTTCTTTTTTTGATGCTATGATAATATAGTTCCTTTTTTTTATGTTGTAGTTACCTTTATTTAAATGAGAGTGCCTATTGAAAATACTCTTAGAAAGTCTACATTATAAATTGTTTTGGTTTCTACTGGTACTTTTTATACAATTGTTTTGGTAGTTGTATTTTTTTTATGTTGTAGGTACCTTTATCACAATTACAAATGATATGTGTTTTTTTTATTGCTAATTATGATATCTTTGTTGTAGATATTTTTACCTTGTCTTTGTGGCAATCATTATTGCTTATTTGTGGTGAATTTGACTAAAGGAAAAATTCAGTTTATTGATAATCTGAATTATGATGAGGATGGTCGTAACTTCTTGAAAAAGTTATCTAGTCTCTTGGTATTACTTTCTCACTCTTCCATATTTTCACTATTTTCTTGTCTAAAGGTTCTGATAGTGAGTTTTAGTAATTAGGATTTGGACAAATTTTAAACTAGTTTACATGTTATAATGACTCTTAATAGATCATTTAATGTGACTGTGATCTGATTATATGATTTTTTTGGTAGTGTGATATGATCAGTACCTTCTTTGATCATAGACTTACTCAATCTGGAGCTATGGTTGACTATGCTTTGGAGTTTCCTACTTTGAATTGGAGATTATGGTGTTTATACTATAATGAGTATGCTTTTATTCAATGGAGCTGATGAGTTTAAATGTGAAATTTTAAAAACAATTATGATTCTATTCCTTTTAAATTATTTCTTTTAAATAATATCACAATATCTTATATTGATTATATACTTTTTTAGGCTTCAAATAGGAAGATTCTCCGGGTTCAAATTCCTGCATCTTTATTGTTATCTGATATGAATGAAGCTAGATCAAATGTAATTGGTAAGGTGGCTGAATTCAAAACCTGATAGGCAGCGTCTTTCAAAAGAGGTTGAAGAAAGAAGGAAGAAAGAGATTGAGCAGAGGAAGAATAAGAAGAAGCAGACTGTAGACAAGAAGAAGAAAGGAAAGGCTTAAGATATCATAATTTTCTGAAACTAAGCAAGGAAAGGCTTAACATTGTGTAACTGATTTTTAAACTTAGTTGTTATCATAATTTTCTGAAACTAAGCAAAGTACTTTGAAGAATGTATAGCTAATTAGTATTCATTCAACTTTTGTGTAGGTTATTGAATGAAGAATGGAAAAATATTCATTTTGTGTAAACAAGCTTTTGCCAATATTTTATGAAAATGGTATATTGTTTGTTTAATTCAATTATTAAAGATCTTTGTTATCTTATGTCACTATATGTTAAAATTTGCACAATGTGGGAATAAAAGAAGAGTGTTTGTTCTTTGATTTTTGATTGGAAAATATTGATATGTTGTGTTTCAAAGTTGAAACTTCCAATATGAGTTAAAAAGGAAAAAAAAAAGGAGCAAAAGAAAAAGTTTTTTTTTTTTTAATGCTCAAATGTTCTATTTGAAGGTTGTTCAAAGAAAAAGAAAAAAAATAATAAAAATTCAAGTTGAAAAAGAAAAAAAAATGAGTTCAAAGTTTGTATTTCACTCAAGTTCTATATTGTCATATTTTTATGAGTGATTATTGTGAGTGTTGGGTTTGTTTATGATGATTAGAGTTGTATTTGGTGGTTTTTGTGGAGTAGGTTATGTTGATGGAGATGTATGATCATCATTATTTTGATCATGGGTTTATTAGGATATGGCTCCCTTAATGCATAGCTTTTCTCTCACATAATCCCAAATTTATCCTACCTTTACCCTAGCCTTACATTACAAGCTTAAAAGATCTTCCGACCTTATGCATGGAAGTTATGTAAATGTGAAATTGTTGTTTATCAATCAATGCAAGTTATGACTTGGCATATTTCGAGTCGACTAGTAGGATGAGCGTTCAATGTTTTTATACACACAAGAGTGTGAGTTGGGAGGGCATTGTTCACATTAAAGGGGTTGGGTTGGAGAGCGATCGAGTACATCCTTTACTCGCCACATAAATGAGAGTTGAGTGTGTGAGCACTAGTCTTGAATTCTATATGCTCTTGTGGTTTGCTCTACTTGACAATTGTTGGGGAGGAAGGGTGATTAGATGAATAAGATTGATTGATGTTGAAGCATGTTCATTAGATTTGCCTTGAATCGTTGGTTTTTGATTTGATGATTGGGGTGAAGTATGTTTTATATGTTCATTGATGAGCTCTTTGCTTAAGGACAAGCAAAGGTTTGGCTTGGGGGAGTTTGATATGTCCATTTTATATAGTGTTCTACCCCCGTCCCTTGGTCGTTATTAGTAGTGTTTTTGGCTCTTTCGGGCCACTTTTATTACTAATTTGTGTGTTCTAGTGTTTTCGTAGTTTTAGTTGTATTCTATAGGAAATTGCACTCTTGGAGCATTTTCCCGGGCTTCATGGATCAACTACGGAAGTTAGAAGGACACGACCACTTTTGGAGCCCAGGATCGGTGAGAGCCGGTGATTAAGGGCTCGGTAATTGGGATCCCGAGGCATTTGGACCAAGTATTCGAGACCCGAGAGGAAATCCGGATTGGGCCAAGAAATCTAGCCCAATCGAAGTCCAAGCCTCAAGGAGAAGCAACCGCCCGATCGGGCTACCTCTAGCACGATCGAGCGCGGCAAGATTAGTAGGCTGAGCGTGCTGAGGCGCACCCGATCGTGCGAGCATCTAGCATGATCGGGCGATGCTGCTGGGTAGGAACGCGAAGAAAAAGGCGCGCCCGATCGGGCGGCCCTTCACCCGATCGGGCGCGTGTTTCTGGAAGGCCTGATTAAGTTTAGTTTTAATTCTTGTTTTAGGAAACGTTTAAATACGTTTTTGTACGGTATTATTAGATTACCTTCTTTCTTAGACTTTCTCTCTCTACTTAGTATTTTTCTCTCTCTTAAATTTTCTCTCAACTTTTGTTCTTAATTCTTCCTTTAATTCCAGATTTATTTTTGGTAATAATTTCTTCTCTTTTAATTTCAGCTATTTTATTTGTTTTCTTAATTATGCTTTTATTTAATTGCTTGATTAGTTTAGTCATGATGATTTGTGAGTAGTTTAATTTCTAGGGTTGTGGGGATCTAATAAATGATATGAAGGGGTAATTTTGTGATTGTTAATTATCAATGCTTGGTTGATTTCCTATTGATTGTTTTAATGCTATGCAATTAGCTTTGGCTAGATTTAATTGTATGAGTCTAGCAATATTAATTCGAGATTCGATAGATGAGAATTGATGTTTAGGCTTAGTTTCAATAGGCGGATTAATTTATAAATGGTTAAGTCGAGATTCGACAAATGAGATTTAATACCGGTAAATTAACTCTGTGGTTATAATATGTAGCGAAAACCCTTTATAATCTGATTAACCAATGCTTGATGATTGCTTATTATGATTTGCCCTGGAATATTGTTTATTAGTGAACCTATGCCCTAGGCCTTTTAATATTTGAATTTCTCCCTACTTTATTTCCTTCGACCTTATTCTCCGTAGTTTAGATTTTATTCATAAAAATATTGGTTACTTAGATAATTTAGATTATATTAATTAATTAGAAGTAAAAAGACCTGTTTCCCTGTGGATTTCGACCCTACTTCCCTATCTACCTTATTTAGAGGATTTAGGTAACTAGTTTTGAAGTGCGCCTACGTTAAAGCATGTGTGAATATGCTTGGCACTCATAGGAAGTGGGAATTGACATTACGATTAGGGACAATGATTAGGGACAAATAACGTAGGGAGCCGCCAACAAGTTTTTTTAGGAACTTGTAAACCGTTCACGGATCATAAAAGGCAACCACGAATAAGGGACAACGAAGGCAACAACGATTGACCCGTGAAGGTTAAACCCCATTCATAATCCATGAGATTACTAACTCCATATGGTTCGGAACCACGAAAGGAGGATCGGGGATGATGGTACGAAGTGAGTCGTGGAGTCACATTCGCCCGTATTGGCCTCTACTCGATTCTTATATTGAAAATCATTCATGTGATCTCAAAGGCATACAAACAAAATATTCAATTCGCTCCAAACTACTATTTAGCTAAATTGGTTAAATATTAATGCAACATATAATTCTAAAATATTTGTGATCACTTGAATTAAACAACAAGATTAAAAAAAAAAACCTAAACCGGTTGTCCAAATTATCTTATTAGGCGTGGTTTTCAATTACATATTCCCTTTAACCATGCAATATGGTGATCAATAAAAAATATAATAGAATAAACATTAATATTGGAAGCAATTTAACAATAATAGTGTTAGCCAAATCAAATAATAATAATAACAACCCTAATCATGATACTAGCAATATTAAAATAAGATAAGAGTAATTCAATTAATTAATTACTCACATTCTGCGCGTTCCTTTAAATTGCTACATCATGAATAAACTGTTAGTAACTTCAATAAAAATATAAATCAAATGAAAATTAAATTAAAGTAGAGTTGATTTGGTCCAAACCCTCAGTCAATTATACCTTTCACACTTTGGTTTAAGTATAGAACTTTGGTATAGTATGGACTCCTTGGTGTAATTAGGAATATAGGTTTAAGGCTTAGAATATCGGAGAGAGAGAAGAGAATGATTTTTGGTGTAAAAGAGACAAAGAGAGAAGGATTTGATGATCAAGCTTGTTGATGTTTCAAAAAGGGGAGATATGACCTCTATTTATAAGGGGAAACGAGTGGTCGAATCAAGAAAAGATAAGAATTCGAATCGGATAAAACTCTTGTGATAGACAGCAGTTTTGCGGTTTTTGTTTTTATCATATCTTTTGAACCAGAAATCGGAATAAGATGAATAAGATATGGTTGGAAAGCTCTTGAAGTTTACCTTTTAACCCAATTGGAATCAGATTAAAATATTTTGTAGAACTATGAGGTACAAAAATAATATCTGTATATCTTTGAACGATAATTTCATGTTATATCCAACCATATAAAATTTGGATAAAAACTATGAGGCACGAAAATAATATCTTTATATCTTTGAACGTCTTTCAATTCGGATATAAATAGGATTTTCAAAAAGAAAAGTTTTATTCAATTTCAAACTCTTTAATCTTATCTTTTCAAAAAGGATAATTAAGATCTTTTAGAAACTTATAGAGGCTTCTAATTAATCCTAATTAGTTTAGGAATTGGATTAAATAATTTGGACCCTCTACATGATCATTGGGTCGTAGGTAAGGTGGGCTTAGGTTCGGTTTGGGCTCAGTTTAATATTTTGGCCATAACTTATTCGTTATAACTTGGATTTGGGATTGTAATATATCGTTGAAAAGCTCCTTTAAAGCCCCATACAAATATTCAATCATTAGACCCAGATTATGGACCAAAATAAACTGGAATAAACGTTTTTATAAAAAGGACACGAAATGATTGATTTTAAAGGACACGAAATGAATTATTTTGGGTTTAAAGGCACGAAAAGAGGAAAATAAGTTATGGTTTGGGGAAATGGGCTAGGAATTGGGTTGGTTTATGAAATGGAAATATGGATTTAAGCACTCCAAAAATTAAATACTCAACCCGACCAATAATGGTGGTGAAAGATTGTTCATCATCGGGTTTGGTTTTGGGGA